TGAACCTAAAGAAGGTATACAGTGTTTATAGTATCATTTTTCAAACAGAACTTGACAAAGGCAGCAGCAAATCAGAGGTAGGCATAAAATAAGCACACACACTGGACAGCATAGCCATCTTAGGTGTTTCGTTCTTCCTTCACTTACACAGGCATACACAAGCATGGAGTTTGCCAAAGTCAGTTCTACTGCATCAGTGTAAAACTGGTGTGAGAAGAAGCATAAGGCCTGTATCCTTTCCCTTCCCTTCCCGTCCCTTCCCTTTCTCTCGTTCTAGGCACACACAGTCTAGCTGTGGTAAAATCATGCACATATTTTGTACTGAATGTGCAATATCTATCTATTCTTCATTACCTCAGTTTACAAGAGCACAGTGAATTCACAACAGTATAGAATTGTCTGGTTGGATCATGGTATTATTTCTCTGCTTGGTTTTGTGCTTAAAGCTTTTACAAGTTAGCAGTAGGTTTGTCACTTTCTTTATCAAGTAGTAATAATAGATGCTGAGTGTATTTCATAAAATATGGTGTGCCAACCTTGCCCGAATGCAAAGGATGATATGAGATAGCAACCATTAGATTGCATTGCCTTCCATTCAGCTCTGCAAGATTAACTTTTCTCTCAGAGAGATAGAACTGCTTTCAACTCTGGCATTGGCTTGGTGTTTAGTCATCGATTTCATGAGACAGACGGTTTAGGAATGCATGCAGCTGAACAAGAGGTAGGCAATGGTAAGGCATCATGAGCCTATCTAAAAGTTATCATTGCCACCACGATGTGCAGTTTGTGTCAGTAATTGTTACTAAGGCCAGTGTCAAAGCCTACAGTTTGCAAATCTACCTTTAACAAAAGCAACGTCAGATGAAACAGTTGCCTACTAGTCTACTAAATGCAACATATGGGGCAAGCGCTTAAAACCACTGCATTGCAATAAAGGTGTGTGGATGTGTGTGGGCCCTGAAATGCAGTGGATGATTTACAGATACCAGGCTGGAGTGGAAATGCTGTACCAGCATGAAGATCTGTTTCATTCACACTGGGGAAAGCCATTTACTACCGTGTTACCTTGCTTTACCTTCTTTTTCACATTGCAGACCATGCCAGCCAAGAGAGCAGATGCAGCCCTTAAATCTGTCGCACGTTCCTCGATTGTGACAATTACATTTCAGTTTGCAATCAGACCCATAAAAGCCAGGTTTGCACTCTGCAAGTATGTATGTTCCCAGTTAGTATAAAGATACTAAAAAATACCCTTCATTAGTTTTCAGTCTCGTGCATCAGTTCTCTAATAGGGCTTACTTCCCCAAGCTGGGCTGAAACTACAGGTATTAACACTAAATCAACTCTAGGGGATTCTGAGAACCTACTAGCATCAAAAAAATGGAGCATATTTGTGTCTGTGCCTGTCTTTTTTAGGCTAGATACCATTGTGGAAGCATCTTCTGTCTCCACTTGTTTTCACTCACACTAGGGTGGTGTGCAAAGGCTTCATCTGAGTTAGGGCACCATTGAGCAAGATGGTTCATACTCATAAACAAATATTTAATTCATATCCCAGAGTAACTGCCATCTGATTAAAATGGCAGTTTTAATACTGATCATGCTCAGTATTGTGCAGTAGTAAATCTATGATAGGCACTAAATCACTCAGTTTGACTTGTAGAAATACATCAGGACTGTGGCTGTTAAAGAATTTTTAACACCTCAGCAGAACATCAATGCATTTTGCGGAATACTTTGAATAATATGCAACTTTACTGTATCCTTCTTATGAGCATCTGAAATGCTCCTCTGTGGTAAGTAAATATTATTATCCCTTTGTTTCAGAATAGGAAAAATCCTGGCTTTGACCCTCCTCTGTTACTTCCGTTCTGTATTTTCTACATCCAACACATTAAGGACACTTCAGCATTCCCCATATTCTTGACTTTACCTTTGTCGCATTCCAATCCCATCCATCCTGCAGCACAAGAACAACCATAAGGATCTGGTAGACAGAACATATAATTTCTGCAGCCAGAGTTTTCTTTACAGTTCTCTTCACATGTTCTGCCAAACGTATTGGCTCCACAAGCTGTTTAAGGGGAAG